TATTCCCTTTTACTCCCTTCTGCATTCTTTTGTACTCTGAAACTTGTGCAAGAAAGAGGAAAGCAGATTTATGGAACCGTACACTGAATTATCCAGAGTTCTAGATTAACTAACCTACTCAAACAYTGTAATAAACTCTTCTCCTTCCCACTTGTACCATACATCTCCAGTTGGGATACGGAAGGGCTTTTTTGTTTGTATTGCTTGAAGAGGTACATACAAGGAAGAGAAAGTACTTAACATTCAAAAGACTCATCAGAAAAGAACTGATTAACAGATGAGTATCCTCAATAAGCGTGTCAGGAAAAAATGAAGACAATTTAAGATTATTTTTTACTAATAAATCCAATTATATCGATTCTTGGACATGAATCCAAGCTAAACTTTGATCAGTGCAAAATATTTATCTTCCCTTAGTGCAATACAGTTGCAGAATTAGGCTAACTTAGGAGGTTATCACAAGAAAACTCAAACAGAGATAGGGAGAAAGAAGGAACACCTGCAGAGAGATGTYACAGCAGGAAAAAATGTGACATCCACATATTGTGTACGTCAGGAGTGTTCCTGCAACAACTTCTTAGCACTTACCTGAGAGGAATTTGCATTGCCCTCRATGAAGGAAGGGGTCACGTTGCCTGCCACAATCCAGCTAACAAGGGAGGACAGCAGACCTTTGTCACAGTGGTAGCCTAAAGCATTCTGCAAGGAAAGAAAACACACTGTTTTTCTGCAAGGACCCAATAGATAATCTACAACCTACAAAAATGTCCCCGTGCCTCAAACCAGGTTCCTTCCTCCATCATGTTGCTCCCTCACAATCTTTGCTTGGAAAGCCACCTCTGAGATGCCTGCTTAAATTTACTTTGTTGATGAAAAGATTCTGTTTTACAGTTTGCCACTGCTTTCTCTGGAGAGGATGTTCTAAACACAGCACTGAATATAAGATCCATAGGCTGCAGAATACTATGACAGAACACCTTTAAATTAAATGTCTAAATAATAGATYTAAATTATTCAAATATCAGCTAAACCATTAATCTTGACCTATTCCAAACCAAACTGGGCAGAACCTCATGATCACTCATCATCATGACTATTCTTCTTACTCTTCTTGCAAATATGTGAACATCAACAATTAGAACAAACAACATGTGAACTGAGCAGCGCAGCAGTGCCTCAAGAGCCACACCAATACACCTCCCCATTTACCTTGTGTTGTTGGTAGAGCAGCTTTTGCACACAATCTTCCTGCCTGTACTGAAAAGCAGCTTTACATAAGTGATCCAGCAAGAAGAGCGTTGCCCTGTCCCGGTGCCACAGCTGCTGGCTGGTGAGGAGCTGGACCCAGAACTCGAGCACTGCTGCTGACCCCACGCCGTGCGCTTGGGTGCTGAGAAAAATGTGAGTCTGCCAAATTAAGGGGTAGAGTTATCCAAGAGCTTGCAACTTCGGGAAAAGCACCAGAAGAACGCTTAATTCATGTGAAGCGGGGGGCTGATCCTTAAAAGCATTCTTAAGCTTTCTAGGATTCTTAAAAGCAACCTTAAGCATTCTATAATTCTATGATTAAAAGGATGTTATTGTCACATGGCCATAAAAAGAGCATTGCCATAAATTATTCGTCATCTCCAACCTTCAAGAGAGCTGCTGCAGCCTTGAGACCTGCAAAGTTTATGCAATCAGTAAAAATAGATGCACAGGCCACACGCAGGAACCTCTGCAACCTGCAGGCTTAAATAACATCCATTTCTGAAGTGCTCCTGCAAGACTTCCCAGTGCAGCTGAGTTTCTCTTCAGCCTTTCTCTCTCTCACTAATGTTAGCCAGTCTTAGTTCATCTGTTTGCACTAACAAAGCTATTTTATTTTCAAGCCAGAAATATTTTTCCTAACTTAACTGTAAATCAGTGATAAGAAGCAGTATTTCGAATCRTAGTATCTGCTGCAATCCTCAAACACAAGTGAGAAAGTAGTGCTATACATCACAATCCTTTATAAACAGTGTTTTGATCTGATATTCRAAGAGACTGAATGATTTTTAAGAAATCTGGTTAACATTTTGTTAACATGCCCAGAGTCACATGAATTACTACATTTAGGTAAGGACAGAATTCCTTCCCTATCCCCCTCCTAGTATCAGACTGGTACAGATCTTAAATGTTTTCCACTGCCCTCTGAAACACAGAAAATGCTCATCTGTTGAAATCATCTCAGACACTGAAGTAATCCCAGAAACTCAAGACACGACTCTCTGTGTTCTCAAGAATGGAAATTTCCTGGAATGGAAAACCAACCCAGCTCTCTGAGCCTAGTGCAGGATATTCCATGGCAATTCAATATCCGTTCTGACCCTAAACTTTAAGACAGTGAAAAAATGCTACTGTTCGGGGTGCACTCTAATTTCTTTCCAACCCTCACAGAGACACTTAACAGGTTTAAAAAGAAAAGAGAGAAGAAAATCAAACTTACTTGCATCATACTACTGAGCAGCTTGACGTTTTCTCCATAGGTGACTCCTGTCAAGTGCTGTGTCACCTTGTGGGTAACCTGCTGGGTGACRCCTTGAGGAACTCCACTATCCAGGTGCAGGAACAGCTGGACGTGCGATAAAAACCTGGGGACGTCAACAAAAGCAAAACAGTCAATTCCAAAGTTTCTCCTACAACGTAACATACAGAGGAGCAGCTTCTAAAGAATTCAAAACTTAATATATTAAYTTTGTATATAAATTTGTATATTCAAACCTCAGTATACAGGGTTTTGCTTCACAACCATGCTGCAGAGTATTAATGGTTCCACTAAACCACATTATGGGCACACTATGCACAATTCAAGGCAGCTTGTAATTCAAGGCAGTTTATAAGTCTTACACCACAACATGCACACTTGGACAGAAGTTAGGAAAAATTTACAAGAGAAAAGAGTCCATTTACACTGACGTTACCTTGCATAGAAAATTATAGCTGCAGCACTGCCTGCTTTGGGGAAAAAAAAAGAAAGAAGGAAAGAAAAAGGAGAAAAGAAAAAAAAGGGAAAAAAGAGGAATGGGCAGATTCAAACCTACTCTGAAATGAAGAAAATAACCCCAAACTATCACCCAAGTATTTAAAGCTGTAGGACATTCCCAAAACCTGTGAGAATTAAACAGTGGCTGCAAAAGAAACCTGTTGCCCTGCATAAGTGCACAGCAACACATCCCRAGTTTTCACACAGCAAACAGTAGTGTTTGTGTGTTTGACAACCTAGCCCTAACAGATGCTCCAGCAGTAGGTTTTAAGACATATCCCGTGGGTACTTCAAGGCTGCAGCATGAACAACTGAACTGCAGAAACGTCAGGATGGAGAGTTAAAGTCGAATGCGTCCCAGACCACTTTGTGGCACAGAACTCGAGTGGCACAGAGCAGCCAGTGCATCTATTAGCTCTTCTACACTCCAAAAGCAGATGGCCCCCRTCAAGGCTGCCACTTGGGAATGGTTCTTGTCTCACTAACACTAAAATCTAGCTCAGAAATTGTCCTAGAGACTGCAAGGCAGACCAAGCCAAAAGGACAACAAGGGACCATATCACTAATTTACCAGGAGAKACAGTTGAGGTCCAGCCCTCAAGAMGACTCCCAGTGCCACCTGTTTCTCTATCTACAGACTCTCTCTTGCCAATACAGCTATCCAGAGACCACTGTGTGACACAGGGACAGTGTCACGAGCCTTGTCCGTACACRTGACGCCCAGGTTTCCATAACTGCATCATCAAGCACAGCCAGTGACCAAAAGTAACTTGGCAAACCAGAAGTTTTCCAGTCATCTGTATGACATTCATGCTAGCTGCAAAACCCAGAATGGAAGACAATACATKGAGATGAACTTTCACTGCTCGTTAGCAATAAACATATTAAGAAAACATATCACACTTACTGTTCATTCTTCAGGAGGTAATACTGGCAAGAGTAAAACAGGGGTAAAATTYTATCCAGCACATGGACTACTGGTGTCAGGTATCTGGACTGGACAAGTACACCCARAAGAGAGATCCCTTCAGCACAGAACTTCTCAATGCTGTCAGAAACAAAATAAACATGCGAAAGCATTGGGACTATGAGCAGCAAGAAGAATTTATCTGAGTTCACAGAGAAACTAAGACATTCAGATCTTCACATATAACCTTTGAAGACCTGGAGATATAAACCTGAAAAATATTTTCATCAAATCTATCAGTTGAGTTCTTTCTGCTCTTTTGAGGATGTTATGTCCTCTCTTCTGAAAAACTGGAGATAAGGGTAATGACCAAAGGGTAATGACCAAGAGTGGTCTTCATGTAGGGATTCAGTCATTTAAAGGTCAAGATTCTGGCTTAACCTGTGTGTGTACACATGTGTGTGTTTGTGTATATATATGTATATAGTGCATGTATATACATACACACAGTTAAAAGTTATTCCTGTCCACATCAGTCTCAGCAACCACAGCATTTTCACTATTATTTCTAATCACAATCATACACACGCAAAATACCAAAATGTGCACTAGCCAAATAAAGGAAATATCTTGTTGTTCAAAACCACAGTCCTYGAGCACTGCGGATGTGCAGGGGAAGCTCAGCAGGCCTCGGTTCACCAGCGGGCAGGACACTCTCGAGGAGGCCGTGGYTCAGGGTGGACCCGAGGGGACACTCGCCTGTGTCCGAGCACGGTCATGGCCAGGGCCAGGTAGCAGCCGAGCGGGATGGTGGCTTTAACAGCCTTCAGSAGCGGGTGGAGCGTCACCGACTCGGCCATGTCGGGGGCGCTGGGGGGCACGGGCCGGCCCTGCCGCAGGCCCCRGTCGTTTACGTGAAGCTTCAGCCTCAAAACCAAGCCCCAGGCCCACTGGTTGAAGGAGGYCTCCGGTGTTTCTCCATAACGAACAACACTGGCCAAGTAGGAGACCTGGAACACAGAGCAGCAATGGGAAGGAAGGAAGGGCAACCAAGATGATTAAGGGACTGGAACATCTCTCGTAAGAGGAGAGACCGAGTTGGGCCTGTTTTCTCTGGAGAAGGCTGAGAGGGAACCTGATCAACACCTAGAAGTTCATGAAGGGCGAATRTAGGGAGGAAGGGGTCAAGCTCTTCACAGTGGTGGCCARCGACAGGAAAAGGGGTAAYGGGTAYAAGTTGCAATCCAGGCAGCTCCATGTGCATGTGAGGAAGAACTTGTGCACTGTGAGGGTGCCCGAGCCCTGGCACAGGCTGCCCAGGGAGGCTGGGAAGACTCGTCCTCTGGAGATCTTCCAAACCCACCTGGATGCCATCCTGTGCCCCATGTTCTGGGAGCACATTCAACTTTTAAGACGAACAGTTTTATTTTAMGTTAGCATGGTAGCTGCACAAATCCCCAGGGAGTTGTTATTTTATGATGYTCTAATACTAACAAAAGCAAAAAAGCCTTTTTTCTGTCATTAGCCATAAATCATTCCCTGTAATTCTGAAGAGTAAATACCTGTTTTATGCTTTCAGAGAGCAGCCCAGCATAYGGTTTCTGGGGGAGATACTTCTGATATGCTTCCAGCACCAGCAATGCAACTTCAGAATGGACAGCTGGATCCAGATGAAGAGCATCCTGCTAAGAAAATTATCACATCAATTCACTTCATTTAAAAGGTCTCTAAAACCCTACCGTTCAGTTGCATTAWAAAATTCCTCCATTCCTCCATTTTCATATGTTTATTCCTCATATGTTTATTCCACCATTCCTCCATTTTCATACGTTTAGCAAGAAGTAAGAGACAAAAGTAAAGGAAGGTTCATGTCAGAATATGAGCACAGAGAAGAGTGGGGAAGAGTTTAGTACAATCYAATATACATATCAGAATATTGAAATATCTCAATGTAGTCAAAAAATCTAGTCTTTTAATACAGGCAACAGGACTTCTATGAAAAGCTGAGGTTGATCTGAACAGTCAAAGCTCCTGGCATAACCTATTTTCTGAAATACTTTTCAGTCTTTTAAATCACACTAAGGGATTTGAAGCTTCTTTATTTCAATCATGAGTTTTCTTGAATTGTACAAAACATATTTGGATATAATCCTGCAAACTACAGCTACACCAGTGTCATATGCACTGCTTGACGATCCCTCTCTTTTTCAACCACAAATCCTCTTAGTTCAGGGACTCACAAAAACTGTCCYCTTGGATGTTTTCTCTCATTAAGAAAGGGGAAACTCCTGTTTAAATATCTTTTAAACTCAGCTGCATCACTACTGCTAAGCGATAMAAACAAATCTTCAAGCAGAACACTAGAAAATCACTGCAAAATTCACAGTGCCAATGCTTTCAAACACACACAAAGCAGACGATCATATCAAGAGCATGCAGTTTTAGCTGTTTTCACCAAATCATAACAACTTTTTTTCCCCCCTCAAACTGACCCAGATGTCAGGCCTCCTGTGTTTTAGTACTTACATGTTCCCCAAGTCCCCAGTTTAGGCCTTCCAGGATGATGCAAGCCAGCTTGTTCTCCACTGTGGTTAGACTGTTATTTAACAGCCAGTCACGAATCAGAGCTATCTCAGATGATGAAGGCTTCCACAGGTGCAGAGGCAGTTCTTTGAACAGGTACAAAGAAACCTTTGAGGAGAGAAAACAGAACAAAAGGCTCATTAGTCTTTAAGTATGAAACAAGCATCATCACTAGGTCTTTCCAGCACAGTGACATAGTAAAAAACATCAACAGCTCTTTAAAATGACCCAGCCTACCAAGCTGTATTTATAACACTGCCCGGTGGGGTCTGTTCCTAGTTTTAACTGGATGATTTCTTTTAAGGGACAGAGGTCAGCACTTACCATCCCAACCTTTTCAATGGTGCCTCTAACTCGATCCAGCAGAACAGAAATCATCTGTGTGTGGGTGCTGGCAATAGCACCCAGTAGCTCCCGACCAACTTTGGAAAATGTCTCTCTCGTGGACAGACTGATGTAGGACACCTGCGAAGATGAGCAGAGAAGAGCTGATTGTTATGGTTGGCACTCAGTGATACTGCAATAAATAGTGCACCACTAGTGCAATGAAACACCTTTTGGAGAACACAGAACCAAATTACTCTTGCTATCGCTATCAGCCTTGCAACAAGGCTGAAAAATGCAAATGTCAATATTAAAAAGGATTTTCCTAACGTTTAATACATCTAATGAAACTGTTTTGACACAACGTCAAAAAGAGTGACAAAAATAGTGTTCAGAACTGAAYGTMCAAAGAACAACAACAAGAAAAGAGAGAATAAACAGCAGGAATTTCAGAGCTTTAAGTCAGCCCTGAAAGAGAAGAACCAKACAAAGAAACAACCAAAACCAAACYGATGTTTTCTCTGCCAAAACAGAACARGCACAATCAKAGATCCGTCAGCCATGAGACTGAGAGCTACTTGTGAGGTTTATAAGCTATGGAGGAGAGAAATGCTTCACACCTTTCACTGACAGAAAGAGCAACAGCATATTCAGTAATATTACTCACCTCATATATCTCCAGAACAATCATTTTGATAAAATCCTCATCCACATCAGCCCGTTTGGTTTGTGCCATCTGAGCAAATGTGGTGAGCAGACAAATTTCTTCTGAGCAGTTCATTGACTTCAAATACTTTTCAAAATTTTCAAGGTGCTCCGGATCTAGCCAAAAAATTACATGAAACAGAAGTCAAATGTTATAGACAGTAGATCATCAATACTTGTATATATAGTCACAGTCCAATCCCAGAGAATGGATTAAAAGGAAAGGAATTATCATCCATAAGGGTCTGCAAATTAGTATCCCTCCTTCAGGAGGGATGGGTACCAGCTGTTTGAAATGAAGGATGATATAAAATATCATAGTGTTTAGTGAAGGAACGATGCGCCCACATGTCAACAAATATGGCAGAACTCATGATCAAAACTAAGATTGTTTTAAAATGGTTAGAATTCCATTTTCAATGTTAATTTTGAATTAGGCAATGTTGATCATTCACAGGAGGACCTGCTTGGATCTCTGTGCTTGCTCAAAATACTGCTATGGTTTTAGCTTCCATTACATATTGCAGCAATTAGCTCCCTAGATTAAAACTGAATTCTTTCACACAATTTAAGAGCTAACTAGTGCTACAATCAAAGGAAGATGAAAACGGAGCACAACCCCAAGCAGAGCAGAGAGGTTTTGATCAAGAGGCTTTGCTCATTCCACATACCACAATTTCAAGCAGCAACTGAAGTAGGGAAACCTGTCTACACTGATTAGAAAAGAGAKCACTGAAAGCATCTCCATTCATCTCTTCAAGGGCTACCACAAAACAACACTTGAAGAAAAAACACTTCTCAGCACAGACCTCATTACTTAGAATAAACTGAAGCTGAAGGAGGTGTTGAAAGCTGCACCTGGGCTACAAATGATTGGCCTAGTGGTGTGCTTCCTCTGTARCAGAAAGGGTGCCAGAGACCTCATCACAGCAGCTGAATACACTGACAAAGCACTCGCAGAGCTACTCAAGGACTCCATCCACAGAGCCACGTGCACTCAGCACGCCTGGCATTAAACACTTCCACCTCAGTCACGTTCTGTTTCAAGGGCTTTCAGCAATTCTGCACTTGCACCTCARTCTGAGAGGGTCAGGCTTCACCACCAACACATCTCATGAAGATTGTGCTGGGAATTTGTGCAATCTAAGTCTCCATATAATAAAATAAACTAGATTCTTGACACATACACCTAAGAAGCTGCAGCAATCTCTGCCTCATCCACTCACCCCCCTTTCTTCTCCTGCCACCTTTTACATTAACAGCAGAAATTGGGAAGTACATTTTTAAGGTAATGGATAAGATGTCATACCCCAAAACACCCCCTGAACCCCATCGTGGGGCTGAAGGATGGGGAGCAGAGAGGACAGGCTCCATCCAAGTCCCACTTCTTCAGAGCACAGCAGTAGTGTCTTCAAGCAGTTGCTACCTGACCCAATTCCCTTTCTCCTCTACCCAAATGTTCACACAACAGCCCACTGTTCAGATTCAGATCCCACAAAGCTGGTCTTAACCTCAGAGGATGTCCTAGTAACTACTCTTCACAGCTTTAGTTCATTTTACCACACYGATTCTGCCTGTTCCTAAAAAGCAGCCATTCAACTGCCTTTACATGTGCAAGCCTAAAGCTTCTACCAATGTCCCAGTCTTGTCAGCACCTATGGATGCACCATGAGTAACACTATCCAAAATTAATCTGAGAAGATGAATAAAAAAGTCTCTCCCCACCTTAGAATAACATTAATGCCAAGGATTATTAGGATATGACTTATGGGAAACCAAGTCAGCACTAAGTGTCAGTCAAACAAGTTTATSTACAAAGATTAGATGAATTTAATAGAAAGAATTGTTCATTTCCCTATCTGGACATATGTGAAAAACACAGACAGGCTGACATARCCAGCCAGGGGAATAAAAAGGATAAAAAAAATAATTAGCTAGATGGGAAACAAAGCTCCATCAAAAATGACTTGTTATTGCCAGAACTGCAACCCACTGCATTCTACCACGCTGAGACACAAAGATGAGATCCTATACTAAAAATTCAGAATTTAAGGGGGGGGGGGGGGGGGGGGTATCTGTATTGCTCCTCAAACAGTTGCTGAGTGGCACTGGCCAACCAAAACATACCACAAAAATATACAGCCACACTTATGACGTCCCTGTCCTGATCCAAATAAACTGCCTTTCCTGTTTGCTGGCCTTGTACAAATGCAAGAAACAAAGCCTCTTTGCATCCACTTCAAAACACTTCCTCTGCATGGCACAGCTGTTTGGGCTGAGCAAAGGGATCCTACCTTTGAGTCTCTGCTTGCAATCAGCAGGCTGCAAGTTGGAGCAGAGCTTTTCTAGGTGCTCGCTCTCTGCGCAGTGCATGACCAAGAAGAGCTTCCAAAGCATTTGGCTGGATAACGTTCCATAAGGCATCTGGGACATGAACAACCAGATTCCCAGCCTGTCAGATGTGAAAACACAGGAAAGTGGTTTGCTTTGTTAAAACCCAAAAGCTTAAAAAAAGACATTCTCTGACCTACAGAATTAGTAATGGGAAAATGTGTCTCGGCACCTCTCATTCTGAGAGAAAGAGCTCAGCAAGTTCCCCACACCTGATGTTAGAAATGAAGGCTTAGAATTCTTGCCCACCTTGATATTACCAGTGAGCTGAAAAATCCTGCATATTACACTTGTTTAAATCATTAAGAGTAAATTTAAAGTTACTGCCAAAGCCAGTATCCACTGAAAGGGGTGTCAGGTTGAAGGAACTCATTCAGCACAACCTTTTCTCACARTCCTTATTCCAAGGTATATGGCTTTTCAGCACAGTATTTTGGTATCCATCRGTGGACAACCTACCTTTTGGCCTTCAGAACATGTAGAACAGCTCTAAAAAACAGCTCATCAAACTCCAGTTGCAATTTCTCCATGGAGTAGGGATGTCCTGTTGATCCATAGTGTTGATTGCAGCTAARGTATTGGGCCCAGTGGTCACTCACATGACAAAGTGTCATCCTACAGGACAGACAGAGAAAAAACAAGTTGTTTTTCAACTTGTTTTGACAACAGAACAAGAAGTTCTGTTGAAAGATCATTACAGTATAAAAACAGACAGATGCAACCAAACCAGAGCCTCGTTACAAGATAAACAAGTCTAAGCCTCTGCCCTCTGGTTTCTAAGAGACTCCTGTATAAACAATATGTATTTTTCCCACTTCTTCAGACAAGTTTGGTTTATGAACTCTAGTACTCTCCCCTTCTAGTTCTACAAGCGAAGGATGCATATTCTGTTACACTAAATCAAGCTTTTGTGATCTTTTAACCCTTAAAGCAATCTTATCTTTTGAGCTTGCTATACATACAAAAAGCCCAGACATGAGCAATTATTATAGCACTAACTTAATCAATATAGCACAAAAAAAGCACCAATTTTGTTTCAAGAAAGACACCGTTAAGCCGAAAACAATCATTCCAGCCAGGTTCTATTGAGTGACCACTAGAGATTTAACAATAAAGCGCAACTTTTCTAATCACCTTTCCTCACTGCCACAGTATTTAGACACTGCTCCTCCCCATCACAGAGACAGTTTTGGAGTTAAGGACTCTGCATCTTCTGACTCCCAGAGCAGCTAAACCTACTGTGAGGACAAGAATCACCCAAGAACCGATTTTTATGTTTTAGCAGACGCTCCAAGTTTCAAACCAGAAAGAAATTACGAACAAGACATCTTATGAGAAATGCATTTTCTTTTGCAATGGAAGACTCCACAGAAATGGAAAATAAACAGCATGTAGAGATTCATTCATAACAGAATGAATCTTACTTACTTGATCAGACGACCAATTCGTTTCACAAACTGCCTGTAACGGGCTCTGTTAAACGTTTCCAGCCCTACAGCCAGAAGTTCTATTAAGGAGTTGGCAAAAGCAAAAATCTTCATCATTTCGTGAGGAGTTGTCTTTTCAGGAAAATATGAACCTATAAAAAGCAAAAAAAAGAAAAAGAAAGAAGCAGAGCGCTCATTCTTAAGGGAAATATTTAAATTTGAAAGCACAAATCATCTATGCAGATTATAAAGTCTCCAACAAGTGATATCTTCATGTACTTGTCTAGAGATTAGGGAAAAAAAAAGACATCAAGTAATTGGAGACAAATCACAGTAACATCTGCAACATCACAACTAACAGGCAAGGCGTAAAGATTAGCTCTGAAAGCACATCTGCGAACAGCTCTCACAAGCAGATCAAAACTAAAGGGAAAGACTCTAATTATGCTGCCATTGCCATGAACTTGCTAGTCCCCATAACGTTCAACTTTCAGTCATCTATTTAGCCTGCAAGCTGTTTGTGCATATTTGCTTATTGCTCATTTTGAAGAGCATCTTTTGGAACAGAGTAGCCTATTTGGCTGTTTTAGTCATTAATATATTTAAAAAACAACAAAAAATAAAAAGTAAGCTCCTTTAGCAGCTAATTTACCTCCAGACTTGATCCCAAGGAACTGCTGAAACAGTTCACGAAAAGGAAATTGTGACAATAGGACAATCAAATCATCTTCCAAAAGTAGAATCCAGCTTGTTTCGGGATCTTCATCCTGCAGACAAATTTAGCTTTTAGTATCTTGCCCAACAAAAGTCATGCCAGAAGGACACAGCTATTAAACCAATTCCAGTCCCTGCATGGGTAAAGAAACAAAGTATGTAAAAAAGGACAATTGAAGTCTGCTAGACACACAGGTCCCTAAATTTGGGCCTGCCTGCACTTTGCCTAACGAGGCTCATCAGCCAGAGCTCCCCATAACGTAGCCAGTGGCAGCCCAACATAACTCCTACGGGTTATGCTCCCCCAAGGCAGCACGCATTCAAATGCACGTCTACTTTTGCATTATATAAACACTTTGAAATCCATCATGTTGCCTTAAAACAAGCTGTATTTCCCCTCCTTTTGCACACAATAGTTCCAATGAAGTTTAATTTCTACTTTTTAATACTCATTAATGGAAACCTCCAGTTTCCAGTATGCCATGACTATCTGCAAYGACACCACAAAGCTACAAGGAGACAAAAATAGATCTAAATTTAAACTGATGCTTTATAAGAGTCAGCTTTACTTCCTCCAACTCACAAAATCAATGCAATAAGTTCAAACAAAGGCATTCAGGGAAAAAAAAAGTTATTTTTTGTACCTCTTCTCCTCCTTCATCTACTAGTGTCCAGTTTCCTGATTCTTTTCCGGATGAAGAGGAAGTCTTTCTTTCATTGGGTTTCATATGGCACATAAAGTCCACCCGATTTCTGAGGACAGAAAAAGCATGGAGAAAAAAAAAATAAAGAGCACAACCAATGCACACTCCAACTCCGCAAAGCTTTTCTTCAGGCACTTTTGTTGTAGAGACAGCATTCCCTGCAGGTAACTGTGCAAGCATCATCTATAACTTTACTTCAGAGTTCACAACAACAAACACGCAGCAAAGTCGCCTACCACTAGCTGTGMGACAGGTGAAAAAGCTCTTACTGTTGCAGGAGGGTAACGTACTGCAAAGGCTCTATCCTGAGGTGAATAAAAAGCTGCAAATTTCACTATGAATCTCTTAGTGCCTGCTTTTATGACATGGCTGCAGTGGGCTTCCATGGTTGTTTACCTAGACCCTGTGTCATTCTGTTTTCCACTATTAAATAATCAGAATCTGTTTAGGAAATCGTATTTTTCACACTTACTTGACAGGAGACATAAGCAAGGCAAGAGATTGCATGAAATGAAAGACACCTGACGGGTTATCCAAGACCTTGATCTGAAAAAAAAAAAAATAGTAGTCTCAAGTTAAACACAAAGCAAGATAAATGGTTTAACAGATAAATTACCAGATAAATTACCAGATAAATTACCAGATAAATCTGGTTTTACCAGGTAAATTCATATTGTGAGTTTCATACTCCTCATTACCAGCTTTTTGTTCAGAAGAAAAAGTATATGTAAAAGACAACTCTAAATCTCTCTCTTCCCTTCATCTGCATATGAAGACCAGGAGGGAAAAGTAGGAGTTCAGTAAAAGAGGAGTTAAAATGCTGCCTTTGCTCTCCCCTTTATTCTGTTGTTTGCTATTTCCCTGTTACTGTATACATGATCCTTCTCCTACAGTCAGATTTACAATATATTCCCATCCTAAAGAGCAAAAACATTGCTTTGAAAAATACTCTGCTGCCTATGGACATCTTCACTCCCTCCCGATCTCTACAAAGTGAGCATATTCCTTTGCATTGCTAACTAGCCTGCTAATTAGCCCATTTCAGCATGCAGTATTTCAAAACTGTTCTCACTCATCCSTTACACCTCAGAGAAGCGAATCCAGTCTTACTCGTCTCATATACAGGTACTGCTTCAACTCTCTTCTCTTTTCCTTGCCCAAATCCTGCTGTGGTGTCACACCTTAAATCTTCAATTCCCTTTTGAGTCTCCTTAGCTGAGAGGTGGTGAGAGGAGGCTGTTTCCTATCACAGCTGAGATAACCGGCATCAACAGCCTCCTCACTGTTTTCTTACACCCAAARACATGTAGCTGCCACAGGGGACTGATCTGCTACCAGATATTCTCTTCTCCTCTAAGCCCCTCCACTCTAACTTTGCAAAAATAAAGAATTAAACATTCACACCTGAATGAATGGCACAGCCCATTCACTGACCCCGGCTGGGCACCGGAGGATGTGGTTCAAGAGGAAGAGATGGTCCCCAGGACAGCCAATTCTCTGTAACACTGCCACCTAAAAAGGTTGGAAATAATTTCAAAGTTCATTCTTTTACAGTCCTGCTAAACAGATAAATAATGTTTTCATTTCTCACACTTTCCAATAAGCCTGAGGTTTCATGGCAAGTAATAGGAGAACAAAAATGAGAAGCTGCTGTTTGGCTTTCGAATTACACCATTTCCTACACCACTTGCTTTGGTATACATAAATCTTAAAGGAACTGAAGTTTTAGTAGTAACATTCTAAAAAATTTATTCAAAAGTGAACAAAGCAGAAGTTCCCCAAATTGAAGACTCATTCTCCCCAAAGAGCATTAGCACTCAGTATCAATTAACACACTCAGGTCCACTCATACMCCAGACATCATTAAGACAGTTCATCTCCACTGACTTCATCAGACTATGGAATTCATTTTAAAGATTCAGCAACAGATTATGTTCCCCAATTAGAAAAAGATAATCCAGGAACTGATTGCACATGGGCCAAACCGTGACTTTCAGGACAGACTTCTGAGCTGCTCTCAGGTGCTCGTGCCCTCACCAGTCTCCGCAGCCAGGCGAGAAGGTCACTTTGAAACTGAGGGTCTTCAATCACTCTCCGAGTGAAACTGAACAGGACACTGACACATTCCTTCAAGTGGCTCAAGTCTGAGGAAAGATTTTCTGATTGCTTTGAAACTGTAAATTTAAAAACAGAATTGAGCATGATGATGAGTGACTCTCACAGCAGTGGCATAAGCAGCTTTTTGGAGATGAGGCAGAAAATTTCCTCTCTCTGTATCTAYTGTTACTGAGCTATTTCAACACAGTGGTTCTCTAGAAGTGACAGAGAAGGTGACTTATTTTATTTAATCTTATAATTAAGCAGTTAGAAAGAAAATGTACATATATACACCACAGCTCCTCTCATAAAAGGCCTCCCTTCAACACGACCTTTGAAAGAACCAGCTTATTTTCTATATACATATAGAACTGAAGATGGGGGAAGACTAGGAAGAATAAATAGACAGTGGGGAGGACATTTTAGCTAAAAGATGATACTGCCACAAGCCCAAATTGTGGATGTGCTTCAGATGAAAAGCAAAAAGGYATCTAAGTATTAAAGCTGTGAGATTTCAAGCAGCCTTCCCAGAGGCGTAAAGCAGCAACACTTCCCCCAAAGCGGTTTAAAACAGTCTACAATCAATCTGGAAAGGAGACTGTATTGAATGWTGCCTTTGATGAGAGACTGGATTCAGAGTGTCCCATCCCACCCAGGGTGACCAGRGGCTGTAGACAGCCTAGGCAGACAGTGACACTCCTGCATTCAACTGCCACTCCACAGGAGACCAAGGTAAGAGAACTACTGCCTTCCAGCAAGAGAGCTTCACTGACCACTACCTAAAACCAATGGGTATCAGAGGAGAAACACTCAATATACAATTCCGACCAAAGAAGCCCAAAACTGGAGACACACGAGGTGCTGAGCACCCTGTCAGCAGAGGCAGCTGTCCAGGGGAGCAACACACCTTGTTCTTGCTGCTGAAGGGCCACGGATCTCAGCAGGGACGAGCTGTGGAGCAGCCTGTAGATGTAGGACTCCACCTGCAAGCGGGACAACACCGAGGTGTACAAGTGGAGCGCCAGGGTCTGGTGCACGTGCTCTGCTTTGGCTTCAAACAGCTTCCTCAGTTCCCCCAACACGCTCTCGTTCAGCTCCACCACCTGATAGCGATGGTGACCTGACACTTTGCACTGATCTGCACAGACACCCTGAAAGGAAAGCAGTTATTTTATGTAAGTGTTTTTTGGCATTTTGTTTGGTTAAGTGAGCTTCAAGAAATTAACCCTGACATAATCCTCCACTCAACAGATATTAAAGTTTTCATGACAGTGGCCACTTTGCAAATAACAAAAGACAAAAATCTGGGAACATCAACTTTTTTTTTTAAATAATACTTAAAAAAACACTTTTACAATATTTATTTTTGCAATACTTATTTTTCAGAGCTTCTGGCTGCTGAAGACACAGTAGATCCCTGACTTTGGAGGAAAAAAAAATAGACTCTATAAGCCCCCAAGAACACAAAACTAGGAACTGAGATCAAGTGAAGTGACCTGTCTTTATCAGCGACAGACATGAACAAAATCAGATCATTCTACTCCCAGACAAGACTAACTGCGTCTTAGTTTATAAATCTTCATAAATGTCCAGCTCTGCTGTTTTAAAGACAAAACATACATTGACACAAGCTAAAAGCTTTAACAGGCTTCTAGAATCCAGTATTTATTAGTAATTCCCTGCAATATATTTAGCATTTCTCAAGCAAACTGTACTCTAACTTTCCCCAAACTGGAATTCAAAGGCTGAGAATCCTCTCCCTCTACTCCTACTGTAACTTCTTAGCAAAACAAACCACAATATGTAGCATCTCTGTTATTCTTTTAGCAAACCCAAAATGTACATACTCAGGAAGCCTGGCTCGAAAGTATTCTTATTCTAATAACTTAGGCAAAACAAGAGTTTTGAATTGGTATTAAAAACAACTATGTGTGCACACCCAGTAAACCGAGAGGGAATAAMGCAAGCAGGAAGCCAGCGAGTTTTGCAAACTTCATGTGGGCCAGGGGAGATGCAACAGTTAACTTAAAACTGGAGAGCATAGAAACTGATAAAAGAATAACTGAAAAGCTAGCAATTTCCTGTGGTACAGCTTCACTCTGTTTTCTGCAAAAAAGACTCCAATCTGCTCAGTGGATGTCTCTCCAGGGAGCCTGGGTTTGCAGGTACCAATGCTGCTAGAGGGCCAGCCCAGAGAGAGCTAAAACTTCTAAGTTATCCTTATGGAGCAACAGCTATGTCAAGTGGATGCATCTCGCACTCCCTGTGCTCTGAGCAGCAGAGCAACCAGGGGCAGGACTCTAATTCCACTGCCCCACAACTGCTGCCTGAGGGACAACCCGCAATGACATCAGTGAAAATCACCACTACAGGCAGCAGCCCAGACACAACAGGCAGAAACAGTCACCATGATATCCTGGCTAYGGTCCCACGCCACCGCAGATCCCTTGTACTCAGCTGGGACAGCAGCTGGCACACATTTGACCCCACACAACAAGCAGAATTGGCTGCACCCTTCTGACTGGCCAGACAGCAGAGCTCATTAGCAGAGACTGCAATATTCTACACTTGTCATAGTTTAAATCAAGCAACAAACTGCCTTTAACATCAACAGGATCGTATTCTTAAGCACTAGGGCAGGGGGTTGTCACCGGGACAGCGAAGAGAAAGAACAAGAGAGGCAACCATCTCTTTCACAGCAAAGCAGCCGAAACCCAGCAAGAGAGATTCATGTCCCGAATCAGGTCCAAACAGTTTGGGTTCAAAAGCAGTTTCAGTAGCAGCACCTGCACAGTTTTCTGCTCCTCTTTAAACATCCACAGCCTCCCCTTGGCGTTTTGGCAGTCTGTCGCCAGGGCCTGCAGCTCAGCCTCAGCCAGCAGCAGCTGCTTGCGACAGCGCATGTAGTTCAGGAGCAGCTCGTGGAACTCGTGCCTGTCCTGATGAGCAACGCTCTCAAATTCTTCCGTGTAGGAGTCAACATTCTCCAGCCATGAGCACGGCTCAAAAATCTTCAGCTGCTCTCTGGTAAACGGCACCAGCTCCGGCTCGGTCGGGATTTCTGGGTACAGCCTTTCGTTGTGCAACAGCGGTTTGACAGCTACCACGGTCGGTCTCTCATAAGACAACTCAGCTGCCAAGTCCGGATAAATGGGTTTCAGTCTGGGATGCTGCACACGTGCTTGGGATTTCGCACAGGACTGGGGGACGTTAACAGGGAGCTGCTCCAAGGAGGGGACAAGAGGGCTTCTAACATCTCGGCTGCTTTCRGGTTCTTTGTCCTGCACAAAAGCCCCCTGTGTGCGAGAGGCGGCCGCAGCGGAACGAGAGGTGCTGCCCGACACGTCGCAGCTTCCCAAGGGCCGGGCGAGACCCTCCGCAGGGCAGAGCCCCTGGCTCCTGCCCAGCCTCTTCTCAACATCGTCCCCCTGCTCCTCACGTAGGGGATGGGCCTGGGGCTCTTCTCCTGCTGCTGCTGCTGGAGGCCCCGAAGCCACCGCTGAAGGCCCTTCCTTTGCCAAGGGTGAGGCACTCGAGGCAGCGTCACGCACATGGCTCGCAGTTCCCTCCTCCGCGCCATCGTCYAGCTGGACTTCTGAAAATCCATCGGGATGCTCCACTTGCGCTGCGCCGGCCTGAGAAGCCACTTCTGCCACGGGAGGGAGGAAGACATCATCAGGCTCCTGGGTCTTGGGCTCTTCAGTACTTATTTTCTTTTTCTCCTAGAAATAAATAGTCATGAACMAACAAATCTCTCCCCCAGGCATCCCCAACACAATCAATCCCTGTCAACAGCACAACTCCAAGAGCCCCTCTTACCAGGGCAATTCTCATAATATCATGAAGAATATGAAGATAAAAAGAAATGCACCAAACAGACCCTCGTTCCTTAGTTCCTCTTTAAGGACTAACTACCAGTGTCTGTTTTCTTGGTCGGTTCTGGAATGGTGCTTCAGTGCTTCCCCACCCAAAAACAAAACAAAAAAAAAGCAGAAACATCCCAGAACCGAGTGTCTCTTATTTAAGTGTAAAACAACAATCAAAGTAGCAGGAGTCTGACCTCTACAAGAAGCCATTAGTGTTACAGAGTAAATTACTTGGAAATTCATCTCTAGTTCTATCAAACATTTTAAGGCACTGAAAAGTTTTCAAAAAATACAGAYTTGGGGACAAAAAGAAGTCTGGAAAATATCTACACGTCACAGCCAAGATCATCAGACCATCTTTTACAATTCCCAAAACACGCGTTTCAAGCAGATATTGAAAACCCACTAGAGACACAAAACAAAGCGACAAACACTTAAACTGTTAGCAGACCACCTGCTTTCCAAGCAGCTTTGGGCGCTGTCCCCACACGCCTGSTCTGGGGCGGGTATTTTACCCCCTCCCACACGCGCGGCCCGCGGCGCGGGTTATCACCGCGCCCAACCGCGCCGCGCGGCCCTTGTTTACCAGCCCCAAAAGCGAAACCGGGAGAGCGGCGCTCCTCCCCTGCGGCCCCGCGCGCGCCACAGGCGCACCGGAGCAACCCCGAGAGCACACCGAAGGCGCTTCCACCTCGCCCGCGCGCGGCGCCCGGCACCTACCCGGGCCCTGCCCTTGGCC